TTATCTGTGCATCCAGGCATGCCTAATGCAAAGGCCCACAGGTGTGCACATCCAGGTGAGCATGATGCAAAGGTCCACAGGTGTGCACATCCATGTGAGCATGATGCAAATGTACACAGGTGTGCACATCCAGGTGAGCATGATGCAAAGGTCCACACGTGTGCACATCCAGGTGAGCATGATGCAAAGGTCCACACGTGTGCACATCCAGGTAAGCATGATGCAAATGTACACAGGTGTGAACATCCAGGTGAGTATGATGCAAAGCACACAGGTGTGCATGTTTAGGTGAGTGTGATGGGAGCCCCAGGAGTGGGCTTGACAGACAGGTGGGAATGAGATGACCGGAGAGTCTTCCTAATGGAAAACAAACCCTACTCCATGGATGGTGTGAGGTGGAGTGGGGTCTAAACAGAGCTGTGGCAGGATGCACGATAAGGTTGCAGCACAAATATGGATTGAGTGCTCCCGTGTGTGTGTGTGTGTGTGTGTGTGTGTGTGTGTGTGTAGGTTTGCATGAGTTCTAAGCCTGCTTCTCCTCTTGAAGCTCTGTTCTGCCCATAAAAACCTCTCACTTCTTTGAAATCCTTCAGCTCTAATACTGGCCAGGTACTGTGGCCTCTGCTTCTGTCCTGTCTTGAAGCAGTATTCATTGCCCATGCAGGTACCATGCTCGCTCAGCTGGACGGTTAGTTCCCTTGTATAAGGCAGTGAGCCTTTTATGCTGTCTTTTCTGCTCCAGAGGTATATGGGGATTGCTAGGAGATCACCTAGCAATTGCTAGGAAATTCTGTGGATTTCATTTTCTCTTCTTCATCTGGAAGTAGGACCTGGGGAACACCTCAAAACTCGCTTGTGCAATTGTCAGAAAGCTAAGAGAGTTTACAAAAGCCACCCCAGTGGAACACGAAGCCTCATTGGCCCTAGAGCGGGCGGTCTTTGTTCTTTGTTTTCTTTTCATCCTGTGATCGCACCTGTGAGCACAGATGAGGGGCTTTATGGATGGCCAAATGCCCACCTCCTTCCTGAACAAGTCCCTCCGGTGCCTGGCTGGATCCAGGGAGCCCTCCTCAGGCTCTGTGTCATTGCTACTTTCCATATGGTTGTGTCTATGAGGTCTCAACACAAGGAGAACAGCTGGGAAGTCCGGCCTCACCTTCAGATAGAGAAACCCTCTTCTTCACATGGGAAACCACCAGGATGTCAATGCCCAAGTCACTTTGGTGCCCTGGGAGTGTGAACTGCAGCTGCTCAGTTACCCTGTCTGCTTGCCTGAGGTCTTGCTAACCAGGGAACAATTTTCTAAAGCTACCGCAAACAAATTTTATTATTATTAAGCCAAACACATCATATCTCCTGCAGTTCAATGTACTTCATTCTCAAACAGCACTGCTCAGCCATCTGAGCATCTGGGGCCATCCTGTTCTTAGCCCACAGCACAGAGTCAAAGGAGGAAAGAAAACTGAGCCAATCCCAGCCACTGGGATCAGCATCAGCAGTGTGTGTCATTGGTTTGAAGAGAAACCACTTCTTTTGAGGACCAGCTACAGGTTGGTCACTCTCAAGGCATTGACCAGGAAGGAGCTGGAAATTTACTCTCACCAAATCTAGTCTTAGCCATTTTCTGTATCTTTTAATTCTTTCTTTTCTAAAGATCCTTCAACATAAAAGTTTTTTGTTTCCTGAAAGTTTTTTAAGGATTTTAGAAATTCTGCTTCTTTCTTTAATTCTGTCTTCATGAAATGAATTTGTTCACACATCCTATAATTTTCATTAACTAAAACAAAAAAAAGAGAGAAAAGAGAGAAGAGGCATGCGTCATTGCCCCCGCAGAATAATCTGAGTTATAAGACGGTTTATTGCAAAGAGCTTTCTGATGCATTTGAATAATAAAGATTTTCAGGAAGGTGACTTCAGTGAGAAATAATATCAAAGATAGACTGGAATACTCAGCAAAGAAGGCTCTGGCAGTAACCAGGAGAGCCAGAGCTGGGAGGCTTACGGACCTTCTTTAATCAGGGCTGTGAGTCCTCCCTGAATTCAGGGAGATGCATTTGGAGCCAGCGAGTCTGATGGGAATAGGAGCTCCTCTCAGTCAGGGTCAGACCCACACATGCTCACTGTGGCCAGGCTGATCACAGGTAATGACACTGGAGGGCTGGTGCTGGCCTGGGGAGCCCACACCCCTCTAACCGGGAGATTCCCTCAGCTTCTGCTGACGGTTGCTGCAGAGGGATGTGGGGCCCAGATCACACCATCTTCTGTTGATTGTTTCAAGAGAAGTCAGACATGTGAGTTTGAGGTAGAATCTCTCAATTTTTAAATGTTGACACTTTAGAAACACTGATGCAGGGCAACAGAAAGCTCATCTTCATTCCAGTTTGCAAACTTCATCCTAGAGCTGCTTGTAAGCAGCCCTCTTCCACCACCTGCCAAAGGTGCTTTTGACTCTATTGTTTTCTTCTCTCATGAACCTCAAATCTCATCCCAGCCCTTACATCCAGGGCATTTCCTCCCGGCGCTGCCAGGCCCACCTCACCTTCTTCCTTTGCATCTCACTGCTGTCCTCACCTTGAGTCAGGAAAGCAGCTCCCTGCCTTGGTCCTTGAACTCTCTGTGCTGTTCTTCTTGCCCCTCATATGTCCTGCTCCTCTGTCTGCTGATACAAATCCCACCCACCCTTCAACTCCAGCCCAGTTCCAGCCTCTTCTGAAAAGTCTTTTTCCATTTAATTCTAAAGTCGTTTTGTCCTTATTATGTGCACAAGGTGGCCTTATTATGTGCACACTGGTCTCATGTTCCCTTCACTGGTGTTTTACTGTGTACTTTTGTTTAGGAAACAGAAACCCATTTCAAAGGAATTAATCCATAAAGGAAAAAAATAACTCACAAAACAAATTCAAGGGTGCATCTAACCTCAGGCATAGCTGGATCTAAGTGCTATAATAATCTCATCGGGAATCTGCTTATCTGTCTTTGAGTTTTGTGTTAGCTTCATTAGTTTCCATGGGGGTAGCAAGATGACTGCCAGCACCTCTAGGCTTTTGTCTTATCCATTCTGCAATCACCAAAGAAAAGGAAGCTTCTCTTTCCCAATGAGTTCAGGAAAGCCTCAGCTTAAAGCTCATTGGCCCAGGCTTGGTCATGTGCCCATCCCTGAACCAATCACTAGGACCAGCAGAAAGGAATATGTTGATTGGCCTGGCTGGCTCACATGACAACCCCTGGAATTGCAGATCAGTCAGCTCCATCTCAACCACAGGGACCAAAGTGTAGAATGAATAAGTTCCCAATGCAAAAGTTGACATGCTGCTGTAAGAAGAAAGGAAAAATAATGCTAAATTGGCTAAAACTAACCTAAATTTAAAAATTTCACCCTTTAGATTTTTCTATTAAGTTTTATTTAGACTATTTATATGAGGTTGTGTGTGTTTTTGTGTACGTATGTGTTATGTGCATGTATGTCTACATTTCCTTAAGTAGTTACTCTTTATAAGGTCCTGTGCTGGGCTGTGAGCACTGTGGTGAAAAAGACAGGTGCAGTTCTCATCCTCCTCACGGACATATTTGATGTTGGAACTATAAAGACAGGATTACCTAGATAATTAATTATGCCTTTCAGAGGTATTTTGAAGGAAAATACAGGACATTTTAAAGGCACTAGACAGGGAGATAGGATGGTGAATAGGAGGCTAAAAATGGCTTTTTGGAAGAGGTTAGGTGAGGATAGCTAAATAGTAAGTAGCCATCACCCAAGAGAAGAGTGGGTGAGGTGGGTAGTTGAACAGTCTCTATCTGTGACCACTAAACCCTGAGTACATGCTGGTATGTCTACCTGTGTGATAGAGACTTATCAATACTTTTCTATAGAAACACCTGAGGATGGTAATCACCAGTGCTATTTGGTGTCTTTTCCTTGGAATAAAACTTGATTGATCCACTGCTCATACACTTCCATTTATTTACTTATATTAGTGTGGTCAGATTACCATAGCAAAATACCACAGTCTGGGTGGCCTAAATAACAGGAATTTCTTTTTCACAGCTCTAGAGACTGGGAAGTCCAAGATCAAGATGCTGTCAAGATGGGTTTTATTCTAAAGGCTCTTTTCTTGGCTTTAGGTGGTCACCATCTTACTGTGTCCTCACTTGGCCTTTCCTTGGTGCAGGCTCAGACAGAGAGGACTCTGATGTCTCTTTGGATTAGCACCACATCCTTATCACCTCATTTCATCTTTACAACCTCCTCACAGACCTTTTCTCCAAATAGAGTCATGTTGGCGTTGAAGGCTTCGACATAAACGTTGATGGAGGGAGGACGGAAGTATGCCGTCCATAGCAGTGTTATACAATCATGTCGGTTTGTTTCTGTTCCCAGTTGAGTTATGCACAAAACCTCATGCCCAAGACCCAAGGGTCCATGCTAATGAGTTGAATAGCTAAGTTTAGGGATGGAGGTTGGGACCCAAAAACCTAGAAAGCTAGGCTCGTTGAAACTTCCAACTGCCTTAAAGGTTACAGAGTAAGAATTTATCTTCCAAATATTAAGTGCACTAAAAAGCAATTGAACTACTTCTGAGCTAAATGAGGCTTCTACTTGATACTTCTGATCCTCTCCTGACCCCGACTACTTTACTCAAATCCTACTTGTGAAGCAAATGGGTTTTCATTAGTGGCAGGATATTTTAAACGTGCAATGTTCATAGTCCTCCATTAGCCGACCACCCCTTGAGACTGGGTAGGAATTCATATCGTGGTCTGAATTGCTGCATCCTTTTACTGCCTCAGTTGAAACGGATGGCAGTAGGGGTGTGTTCACAGTGTGATGTGCATTTCTTCTCCCTAAGCATGCCGTTCGTCGTTTATAGATTTCCCCCTCTTTGTGCTGATAACGTCTTACATTTTTCATTTATAAAATCGGTTTTATTTCTGTTATATATTTTCTATTTAGGATGGTGATTGCCTGGACGGACTGTCTTTGGGACTCCATGACTGCACATTTGGAGAGAGATAACAGAAGGAATATGCAGTGACTCATCACAGAGTCCTTGGGGTGTCAGCAATCCCTGGCTTGACAGGAAGCTCTGGAGTCATGACCTGCGTCAAGCTTCTTGCTGCTGGGGGGAATGGGCTTACACAGATGGTGAGTGAAAGGCAATTTATTCCTTTTATCCTTGTCCTAGGAAAGGCTCTGTTAATATCCAACCATTCAAAAGGTTGCCCCAAAGCTAATGGTAAATAATATTAACCTGATAGCAACTAAAATCCTTCCCAGCCAGGGGTCACATCTGCTTGGAGCAGGACATCGCCGAGCCTTGGGCTGCTGTGAGACGAGAGATGATTGAAGTCTGTGGGCTTTTCTCTGACTCGCTCCAGAAGGCCAAAGGTCTGCTTGGAACAGGCCACCTTCCTCTTGAGCTTTTGGATTGGGAGATGGGCAGGAAGTAGCCAGGCTCTCTCTGGGTGTGCCCATAACTGGTTTAAATGTTTCATGGGTTGAAACTGCTCTAGATCCTCTCTGATACAGACTGTGGCTTGTCACTGCCCCAAGGGAAGTCTATGCTTTTTAGCAAAGGTCCTTCCATGGGCATGTGGGCTCCTTAGCGTCAGGGAGGTGTCACCCTGGTATACACGCATCTACCGCAAGGCCTGGCCCTGAGCAGGTGCTCAGTGACTGTTGAAGTGGTGACTTTCTGTTTTTCTTTTTTTAAATTTTTTATTGGATTTTAGGTTTTGGGGTACATGACCAGAGCATGCAAGACAGTTGCATAGAAACACACATGGCAGTGTGCTTTTCTTTCCTTTTCCCCTTCACCCACATTTGGCATTTCTGTTTTTCATGATTCAGTACAACCTCAGCATACATCCGCACCGCATGTGTGGGGTGTGGGGTGCACATGGGGTGCACTCCGCATGTGTGGGGTGTGGGGTGCACATGGGGTGCTCTCCGCATGTGTGGGGTGTGGGGTGCACATGGGGTGCTCTCCGCATGTGTGGGGTGTGGGGTGCACATGGGGTGCTCTCCGCATGTGTGGGGTGTGGGGTGCACATGGGGTGCTCTCCGCATGTGTGGGGTGTGGGGTGCACATGGGGTGCTCTCCGCATGTGTGGGGTGTGGGGTGCACATGGGGTGCTCTCCGCATGTGTGGGGTGTGGGGTGCACATGGGGTGCTCTCCGCATGTGTGGGGTGTGGGGTGCACATGGGGTGCACTCCGCATGTGTGGGGTGTGGGGTGCACATGGGGTGCACTCCGCATGTGTGGGGAGCACCAGGCAGCTTTGCACTTTCCACAGGTGTTGCACTGTAATTGCCTTTAGTTACTCAGTTGCCCTGAGCATGAGTTTTGGAGTTGATTTCCAGACAAGACTGTAAGAATGTTAATCCAATTCCCAAATTAATAATCAGCCTTAATAATTAAGTAAGCCAGAGAAGCTCTGGCTTAATTATAGTGATTTTGTTATGGAAAAGAGTGCTGATATTTCTATAATGCAGTATCTCATTTACGGAAATTTGGTATTGTTTACTGACAATCCTAGGTAGGGCCCTTTGCTGTGGAATTATTTTATAATTTATTAATGTCATTGGCAAAAAAAGAGATTATTTCTTTTTTCTTTTCTTAGACAGGGTTTTACTCTTTTGTCCAGCTAGAGTGCAGTGGTGCAGTTATGGCTTACCACAGCCTCAACCTCCCAGGCTCAGAGAATCCTCCTAACTCAGCCTCCCAAGTAGCCGGGACCACAGGCACACACTATCATACCTGTCTAGTGTTTGTATTTTTTTGTAGAGATGAAGTTTCACCATGTTGCCCAGGCTGGAAACACTCTTCTGGACATCACATATTTGTGCCATATATATATATATTTGGCACACATATATGTATACATATATATATGTAGTTGTCATATATATATATATATATACATGTCGACATGTGAATGGGTTTCAAAACTTGGCTGTGAGAAACATATTATCTTTGCCACCCTGTGTGTCTCCAAATCATCCAGGTTGGGTTAAACCCAGCATCAAGAACCCCAAGTGTCCGGAGTCTCTCCCACTGGAGAGACCAAACTCAGGCTTTAGCTCAGAGGCTAAACACACCAGCAGCCAGTGGTCGAGTCCCAGCTCTGACACTAGGTAGCCAAGTGGCCTTGGACAAATTATTTGACATTTCCAGACCTTGGCGTAATTATCTGTAAAACAAGTGGGTTCCTTTTTTTATTTCAAATATGACTTGAGTGCCTCCTGTTTGCTAGGGACTGTTGAAGCTAATAGGAATACAGTACGAAGTAGAATTGGACACAATTCCTGATCAGCAGGAGTTCCTATTCTAGTAGAGAAGGCAGACAGTAGGCACACACGTGAAAGAAATAAGGTAGTTGAACTGAGTGAAATGGTAGGATGCAAATAAGAACACAATTGAGACAGTTGCTGTGGCCTGTGCATGGTGCCTCTGCCCAAGGGGGAGGCATCGGGGAAAGTCTCTCTGAGGGTGGTACATTTGGGTGGAAACTGAATGAAAAGAAATAGTGAGATCCACAAGCTTTGGAGGATCCACAAGCTTGGCAGGCAGGGGGAAGAGCAAATACCCAGCTCTACAGGCGGGCACTAACTCTAGTGACGTTAGCAGGTGGGCTTTCACTAGGGTCCTCACACAGCTACTCCATGGCTTCTTGTACCACACCACTTACTGCAAATGGAACTTCTCCAAGCCTCTCTTTCCTCCAGCACTAATTCTAATAACCAACAACAGTACTATGTGTTATCAATAACAGGCCTGTTAACTCTCCTGCATTTTTTTCCTACTAGTTTCCAATTAAAAGCTCCACCTGCTATTCACTTAAAGTGTTGGGAAGAAAATTAAAATTGATGAGAACAGAAATGAATGAGTATGCATGAGTGTGTATGTGTGGTTATGTGTGACTTGGTGTGAGTTTCAGGGGAGTGTCAGCAGGTTTATAGAAGTAAAGAGAACTAGAATATGACTCTGGAAAGTGTATGGCGTCTCCAATATACGAGACCTGTTTGTCTTAAAAAACATATTTGGGCAACAAGGAGCAGGTAGAGAGAGCATGGGTGCAAAATAAGCTGTGATGCCTGCTTGATTGTAGTGTATGATTATACTGTATGATATTATTAGTGTCTTATTCTATTAATGTATTAGAGAGTTAGTATATTATTGCTTTGTGCATTGGTTATAAGTAAAGATTGTGTGGTATTAGAAGATTAGGGATTAAATCTCGTCCCTGTCATTTGCCAGCAGTGTGCTCTTGGGTGAGCTGAAATAGTTTCACCAAGAAACATATTTTTCCGTTGTAATCAGTACAGGGCGATTAGTCTTACGTCACTCTCCTTCTGAATTCATAATTTCTAGCCTGAAGGAATATGAGCTATATGCACTTTTCAATATGCATTGAAAATTTGACATCGGAGGCATGAATGGCTGTGGAAATTACTCCTGAAATCCCATAGGAGTATTATTTTTACTTTGAATAATAATGCCATTGAAATGTGAAATTTTCAGTGTTGCAAAAGCCCCTTCAATTGTTCTATTTTTCTGTGTCAGACCAGTGGTACATTGAGGTTGGTGGATGGAATTATTTTGTCTCATATGATTTGGTAGTTTCATTGATTATAAGGTTATTTATTGTTTTGCTTGTTTGTTTCTTGATTGGCTTTAAAGATATGTCATTCTCCCAGCAGAAGTTATGAGGATTTTCGAGGGAAAGGAAAGCAAATGATCTGAAGACCCTCAAGAGTTAAAGCGATCCTGAGTAGCCTTGTTTTCTCTCCCTTTAGCGTGGCTGCAAATAGGTTTTTAATTCGGTTTAAATTTGTATTTGGTGTTGAAACCTCAGGAAGCCTAAATTCCATTACCTAATGATGATGAGTAAACTATGTTTTTGTCTTCTTGGGACTAGAAAGCCTTTGTCTATTTGTTAGAGGAGGTAAGTAGTCAGACATGGGCAGGGATGGGGGGCACTGTCACCCCCAGGAATGTCAGGAGACCATCAGGCGATACCCAGGCAGTTGTTACACCTGTCTCTCCAAAATAATAATTGGTCACAGCTGGCTCCAGGGAAAGGCAATCTTCCAATAGGTGAAAAACACGGAACCATGATCAGCAGCTTCCCAGTGAGATCTCAGGGGTTGGATGAGTGAGCTTTAGCATGCACACGAGGAGGCAAAATGGTGACATTTAACTGGTCTGTGACCTTCCCCTAGGGACACCGCTAAGGGAAAAGCGCCTAAAGTGAACATGTGCACAACTTCCGAAAAGACACTGCGCCGACGGCCCCTCTCAAGCGCTAGCAAGCCTCTGCGCATGGGACGGCGCTTAGAAGGACAGTGTGACCGCCCAACCATCATCCGGTGGGCACCTGACATTCCTGTGGGTGGCGGCCCCTCCTTTCCCCTGCTTATGTCTGACTAGCTTCCTGCTGTAACCAACAGTATCACAGGCCTGTTAACTCTCATGCAACAGACTAAAGCATTCTAGTCCCAAGGGAAGAATCAGGGGAAAGAGACAGAGACCCCAGAAGCATGCCAACACAAAAAGCCCCAAGCCAAAGGTCAAACGGTGCACTGGATTTTGCAAGTCGCCCACTTGACCCTCTTCCAAGTGTGCTTTACTTCTTTTCATCCCTGCTCTAAAGCTTTTTAACAAACGTCCACTCCTGCTCTAAAGCTTGCCTCTGTCTCACTCTGCCTTATGCCCCTCGGGCAGATTCTTTCTTTATTCTGCAAGAATTGAGGTTGCTGCGGAGCAGCATGGATGTGCGGCTGCTGACACACTCTGGTGCTGCGACTCAGCTATGTTCCCTAGAGCTAACATGTTCTCCACCTTTTACTTTTAAATACTCTTTTAGCATACGTGTTATGATCCTGTTATTCAATAATCTTGATGGGTTGCAGGTTTCTTACAACGGGTACATCACCCTTCACAGAAAGTGGAAAAGATTCAAAAATGAATGCTGTCTTTGATCATGGAGAGGAGAGAAGTAGGATTCTAGGCCACTGGGCAAAGCACAGAATGGCTGGTCACAAAGGAATTCACAGGGATATTTAAACCACTGGACTCTCATTAGCCCAGGTCATTAACGAGAGACAGTGTTGCAATTCTCAAATCCGAGGCATTGCACAGA